CGGGGCTTAGCATAATTCACAAGGTACCACTGTCACCAATATTTGCATAAATATTTACATGTGTGTACAAGGTTAGGTGTCCCCAAACTTTTGTTGGTCAGTGTTTCAGTATTTGTCTGGCGTCTGACGTAGATAATGCAGTGAGCCATGAAGCAGTGGACGCCATAGTTGGCCTGTTGTTGACCCTGTCAAATAGCCCTCTCATTCTGTGGATGACTGTCGTATTGTTATTTGCTGTGCTGCCTGTTCTCTGGGAAAGAACGCTGGCACAAAAACAAAACAACAGCTTCCCTGTTGGCCCACTTAAATTGGACAGGAAGCGCATCACAACAGCCTTACTCACATGCATTCGTAACATGCCGAGTGGTATTCCTGTGTTTCAGTCATGTGACATTTTTCTTCCATTGGTCATATCATTGGTCAGATTGTCTGCTGCGTCATGGTGGTAGTGAATTCTAGCTTAAATCTGGTTTTGGTCCAGTGGTGAACCATGACAGTTCGAGCTCGACATTTGATTTGGGCCATAAATGCTAACGTCTGCTAGCATCTCTACAAGATATACTAAAGGTATGTAAGCTAATGCTGTTCATATGAACATTTTTTGCCCGTTCTAGATTAAATGCAGGCATCTGAAACTTGTTGTAGGCATTATCATATATCTGAGCTTGTATGTATTAGTTTTACAGTGACACTTTCAGTAAAGAGTACAGGCAAAGAGCTGTCGCCGCTGTTTTCCATTCATAGCAACTAACCCAAAGCTGCTTAGGTTACAACTCATAATCACAGTCAGCGACCTATCTAGAACTTCCAGGAGGACTACAGTGATGTATTTTCTCTTGAAATTGGTTCCACTTATTGTAAATCAAAGCATAATTTATTGATTTGTCTGCCACTTCCTAATTATGTTGGAAGTTAATCTAACATGTTAGGCCTTCAGTCTAGCTCCTGAAGTCCTAACCAATGGGAGAGCAGCTTGGCTGTATCTACCAAGACACCACAGAGAAACAATGTCAACTGGAAAACATTCTTTTTAACCTTTTTTTTCCATCCAAAACTTAATTAAATTAAATTAAAAATAAGAGCATTGCTACAGTACTTGCCTGGTTTAAATACCACAAGCATAATGATTATGCTAAATAAAAATAAGCCTAAATTTATTCTGCCACTGCACGCATGATATTGAATAGATTTTATAAAAAAGGGACAAAGTCAGTGCTTAAACTGCTTAAAACAAGCTTTAAATAACTCATTAAAACGTGAAGGAATTGTGAGAAAAGTGCAGTTTCTAATCTTTCAATCCATACCACATTTACGTTTGTGGGTAGAAGATGATATATTTTATTAAGAAAAGTTATTACTTTGTGTACAAGCTTGATCGAAGAAAAAAACATAATGTACATTTTCAAAGGATGCTTTTTAGGATTTTTCCGTGTTTCCGTCAGATGTGCAGATTCAACTTTGTCAATACAGAATGTAAATCAAATGTAAATGTCATTTAGTAACTATCTGTGTTATTAATTTTGTGATTATGTGATAATTATATGCACTTGTATTACATTTAAATAGCACTAAAAACAATGGCAAACTATCTTGAACAGTTTTCTAGCATGATGTGCTGTATTTTGTTTTAACACCTTTTTAAAATTACAGTGGCCTCATTTTTCCTCGACAGGCTGGTTGTGAATGCATGATTACTGTGATGGCTTCCACATGAAGCGCCTGTGGACTATAAGCTTCTTCAGTAGCTTTGGTTAAACCAAGTTCACACGATAACATGACAGCTGGAAGGACTGGCACTGTGTGGACACATACAGCTGGACACAAATGTGTGTGTGCTTTCATGGGAATGGCCTTAAAACACTCTCTGTTCCCAAAAAATTATACGCAAGAAAGTGTAAAACTTCAACTTTATGCTGTAGACCCCTTTGAGTCATGTAAACACACACACACACACACGCACACACACACATACACACACACATACACACACACACACACACACACACACATCTTTTCTTCCAGATATATATCAATAATATATATAATAGTAATATACATGACTATTTCTCAACATCTAGGGGTCCTCTATCCTAATAATATTCTTTTGTATGCAAGAATAGAACAAGGCTTAATACATAAAGAGGGATTATACCAAGTTTTCAAAAATTCTGAATAACTGAATGAGATCTTAAGGTGTAAATTCTCTCAGAGTGGTTTGGTGTGAAATGCTCTGTTCTAGAGAAACTTACCAAGTCAGAATTGTTCACAGTGGTGGTGATAGGAACCAGACGTCCACCTTTAAAAACTCCCTCACAGAAAGGTATTACATGAAATGATTATGAACACACTGCCTGATGTCTGAGACATTGTTTTACGATAGTTTTGAGATGATTTTGAGCTTTTTAAATCCATTCATGGTGGAGGGATACATGCAGGACAATGTGAGGCAAAATAGTCCCCAAATAAAACTTTCTGTTTTACATTTTCAACTATTTTACCATAATCAACATTCCATATAAAACTCAGAAGATGTGTGTAGGTTCACTGGTGGTTTTGGATAGTAAATAAAATGGTTATATTTGTGTTGTAGTCATGGTGACTCCTCCTATCACCACCACTGTTTAGAAATCAAACCACGCTAAATGACTCTGTTTACATGTCAACCACTGAATTATGCAGAAATATTGAATTCAATAGCGGAATTCAATAAGTGAAAAGATATAAAAATCTCTTTTTATTAAATAATACTAAATAAATCTTGAAAAATGCATTTTTGGGGACCCTCCATGGCTCTAGGACTGTAAGCCTATGGTCCTCAAGCAGTTTTTTTTTTTTTCTTTTTTGCGAGTTGGTGTGGAGCAAAAATGTGGACCGTCTTGGAGCCTTGAGGACTGTTTACAGCTAAAATCAGTCCTTGTGATATAATATCATCATTTTACTCGATTACGTGAGGGATATGTCATTGTCAGTTCTTTCCATGAGTAATTGGACAGAAGTAAATATTTGTTTTTGTTTTTGTTTTGTTTTTTTGTTGCTTCTGTACTCCAGCACACTGGAATTGAAATTAAACACTAACTATAAAGGTACAAGTGCAGATTTGATAGCATTTAAATCTATACCATAAAACATTACAGGCATTGGCACTTCTTTGTTCCTCAGGCTGAAATTCCAGATGCAAATGTATGTGCATAAACTGTGTATAAAAAAAGCTAGGCTTGTATAACACACTCTATGTAGATGTCATATTAAAGCTCAACATTCTGCACTCTAACCTCACAGTCATTGTTTTAATTCAAACCCAATAATGTGCTACTCAGACTCATTAGTGGAATCAGCTCAGGCTTAATCTGACAAATAAAACACTTACAGTCATTTTAATTACCATTTAAAGTTTATCTGGTTGTAAAAGATGGCAGATTTATCACAGAAGACATGGCAAAGGTTTAATACATACACTGGTTCAGGAAGAAAGTGTGTGGGTGTGTGTTTGGCAGGACTTTGCAACACCGCTACAATAAATTCTGCATTTAAAATCTGTCAGATCTTCTCGAAAAGAGGCAATCTTTTATCTCATCCAAGAAGATATCACAGAGGAATTCCAGCAACTGTTAGGCCAACTGCTTTCTATTACCCCTGTTAGCACGTCTGAACAAAACCATTTCAAATAATTTGTTTCACAAAACGAATTCAGTAATTCTTAATTGTCAGGTGCTAATGATCATTGCATAAGGAGACAATATACCATATTTACATTGTTTATGAATATTACATATCATAAAAAATGATCATCTTAAGTACAAACACACACTGTATGTTTGGGTACAGTGAATAAAAGAAAACACTCCATTTTAAAAATAAGAAAAAATAAAAAGAAGAGGAATTATCATAGTATTATAAGGCAATAAACTGACTGTGTTGTCTGTGTTTTCAGAGCCTCCCTTGCTAACACATAAACAAACTCTTAAGAGTAGCTTAAATGTATTTCACATTCTGTGTTCCATACCTCATGCATATGTCATCACACTGTAAACAATAAGCTACAACACTTCTCTCTTACCCAGACACAGACTGCAATTGATTGCAAACTTGAAAAATGTATCTTGAATGGCCATTTAGGGTGTTTTTCCACTGCACATTTAAAAACAAAGAACTGATCCAAAAGGGAACCAAAAGAATGTACAATTCTAGTTCATTTCCTACCTGCTTAAGAGACAGCTGGAACTGTCACAGTAACTGTCATTTTGGTAATTTTATGCCATTCTAAGCCATTTAATTTGGCTAATTAGCTACCTTGCTTACTAGTTGTCTTAGCTTAAGACTACCTGCTGACATGAATTAATGCACACAAATGTCTGCAATACATACAACTATGTGTCGAATCAATTAAGGTTTGCATTTTCATTTGACAAGATGCTCGTTCTGTGGATGCTAGCATAAATTCTAATGTGTTAGCTTCCTAACTAGCTTATTTCACCTTAGCAAACTCTTTGCAAATTAATCTTTCTTTTTACCATTCTGGTGCACTCATTAGTAGTGCTGATGCAGTAGTGCTTGAAGACTTTATCTTCACCTGTTAGTGTACAGAATTTGCTAAATTGTTGTTAGATTCAGCTGAAAGAGTTACCAAAGACAGAGAACATGGACAGAGTACCTTTTGTCTGTCAATTTTGAGCAGCGACCAAAAACCTGCTCATGGCCAATGGAAAAAGCACAGTTCCAATTTTCTGGTGCCAAAGGTTCTGGTACTTAGTGCAGTGGAAAAACACCCATAGTGTGCCTGCATGTTGGTGGCAAGATGAAGTGTGTTTTGTGATATCATGAGCACTTTCATCTACACAATGGGCTCATCTTTAGTTCGGTAACATAAGAAATGATTATGTACAGCATTTGCAGTGTTCTCATTGCAAATGGTGGGGTTAGCACAGGCAACATAGTCCCAGTTGAAGAATATTATAATTCCTAGTTCCTAGGATTTGGTTCCTAGGCTAACGAACGGGGAGCTAGCACAAGTACTCTGATCGTGAACTATCACTTTTGTAAGTCATTTGGGAGTCTATACTTGAACGGGAGCAAAGAAGCATCCTTTCTGATTCCTGCGTCTGCCTCCGAGCCCAGAGGTCATTCGCCTGTCCATTCAGTGTCCTCTGTTTCATTGTGAGAGTCTCAAACTTTACATAAGTCTCTTTAGAGAGGTCTTCGTCTGTTCCAGCATTTCTGCTGGTTCTCCCCTTGCAGTAGAGTGACACAATCTTATAGAGAAGAAGGATAATAAGTGGGAGTGCAAGAGCGCAAGCAATCCCGCTAGCAATCATTAGCCACTTGTTTTGGCTATCATCCCCAGAGGTGTCCAGAGTGCTAAAATTCACACATTGGTCCTTTCCAGACATCAAACCTTTGGCAACCAAGCAGACTGTGTAGACCTGGTTGGGCAGCAGATTCTCTAAAAGAAGTTTGCCCAACCCAACCTCAGTCTCTAGCGTTTCCTTGTTATCTTCTGTGTCGTATGGGAAGTACACCATGGATAAGGGTGTATCGCTAGGCAAACCCTCAGTTGTCCATAGCACAACTGCTGTATCTCCAGTCTCTTCAACCACTTCGATATCCTTGATGTAGGAACTTCCTTTTTTCCTAGATTTATCGCTGGTACCCACACCCTTGGTATCCTTTCCCTGCTGCATCTTAGCAGGCGTATCTCCAGCAGGTGGGGACCTCTGAATGCCTCCACCTGGGCCTAGGTTCATCCTAGGCACAGGTGGCATTGTGGTCATGGGGGGCTTGGACGTAGTAGGGCTAAAAGATGTAAATGTTGGAACTACAGTGCCAGTAACTGGAGGCGGAGACTGGGTAATTAATCCTGGACTGTCATCAGGTTTCTTGGTCATGCTTGATGATGGGGACACTGTTGTTGTGTCCATCCCAGCCACAGAGAGAGTGATGAAGGCTTCCGCATTTCCTGCAACATTCTTGGCTTTGCAGCGGTACACTCCGGCATCTTTCACCTCGATCCCATGCAGACTGAGGATGGACCACCGGACACCTTCGCCAGGAGATTCTTGGACAACTACAAGAAAATACAATCAAAAAGGTCAGAAGAATTACATGATCACAGAATTTAAACCTGTACTTCCTTGATACTTGATGATAAAACTGACACGCACTGGCTTGCAAATGAAGGTTTCTAGGACCCATCAAGAGGGGGAATGCTTTTTCATAAGTTCTTCATAAAATATATGTGAAAATGTGCAGGTGTATTCATCAAGATCCTGCAAAGCCACTTTAAAGTATCACGCTTCGCTGCACATGTGCACATCAATAGTCACCATCTGGTGTGGGCGGTGATTAAACAGTGGGATAAAATGTGCACATATGGGTCACTTGTATGAGAATGTGAACGATTAAAGGTCAGACAGAGATTTTACTTTGGATTTCCCCTACCTGTGTTATTGACAGCTGACCCATTCGCCTTGCTCCACAGCAGGGTAGGAGTGGGATATCCTGTGGCGTCACAGCGCAGGAGCACGTTGCTGCCAAGAGGAGAGGTGATTTTTGTGGCTGAGGTCATGACTGAAGGTTTGACACACTGATCCAGCTCAGCTCTCTGGAAGAGAACCCCAGACAGGCTCTCTGGGCCACTGCAGGACAGATATGGGTCCATCAAAACCACTGGAATGTTTGTCATCTTGGACATCTCGATAAGTTTGGAGATCCGGCAGTCACAGTACCACAGGTTGTCCTGGAGACCTGCAAACATCAAACACAAAATATTATGTACCATTTAAAGATTTCTGGAACTGTGGAACTGGAACTTTAAAACTCCTTTTGAAAAACTCTACAGTTTATGTTTTATCTGATTGTCTAATTCGCCAACCCAGCATTACAGCTGATTGAATCTCACTGGCTAACTTGCATGGATTCAACAATCTGAGACACCCTTTTACCCCCTTCAGACAGATCTGCAAGAGGCTGTAAATTTGGCTATTCCATAGCATTAACAACATAATATAACAGGAAGTCCTGTCAGTGAAACATCAGGTGCTGCACATTTCCAGCAGTGTTCACTCATAACTTTGTCTATAGTAGGATGGCAGGTCAGTTGACTGTCAACAGAGAGTTGGGCATGAATCACTGATGAATGTGAACAGCTGGGTGAAGACAGCAACTAAAACACTGGTGAGACTGTGGTTCAGTGAGGCTGTGGGTGAGTTTCAATTCAACTTCAATAAATGCTGGGATTCAGGTGGAAACAGGCTAGTTATTTGGGGGTACATGAGGGATTTTTGTAAAGCAGAATCTGAGAAAACATGAACATTTGAATATCTTAGGAAGCCAAACTCTGTATTTCACCAAATTAGTCTCTAAGACTCAAACAGCATAGTTGATCACAATGGATGATTAAAAGAATATTTAAGAATGGACGCTTTGATTTATTATGTTTTCTAATACATGTAAAAACCCAAGATTTTCCGGTTGGTTCTGGTGCTTTTCTGAATGTTCAAACGCACCTGGCTTGTTTTGCCCCTATACAAATTACTCACAGCTTCCTGAACTGGGTTGTAGCGTTTAAAAGCGCTAAAGAAGACGTCTATCATTGTCCTAGCCTGAGAGCTTCAGAGAAACTCAAAGCTGACAAATTCTCACAGTAGGAAACTCCATTAGCAGATTAACCTGTACTTAAGTGATCTGAACTGTGCTGACAGAGAAGCCTGGGTTATCTTTAGGGTTTCCACTGGGTAGACCCATCCCTGGGGAAAGGCACTACAGATAAGGCACATAGCTAATAACGGCTCTCTCAATGTTGTTAGCTTTATGATTGTTTTGCTAACAGCAGTTTAGCAGTGTCATCTACTACATTAGCCCTTGAATTGTAGCACTTGCTAAACTTTTGCCACATTTACGTAATGCTGGGGACAACCTGAGGATAATTCATCATTAGATAGCAGTTATTTTTCAACAGTCAAAACTAGATGATCACAAAAATATTGCTGTTCATTGGATATCTCAACTAGCATTCACTTTCGACTGAGTACATTGTATGGAGTTGGATAGCCACTCTGGGAAAAGTTAATGTGCTGAATTTACTCTCAAATATATGTATCATTCAACTTCAATGTATTGTCTTTTTCAGGTTTTGTTGCATTTCTAAGTGAAATTAAGTCTACAGAGAACATACCTAATCAGGGGCACCCAAACATTTGCATACATCTATATATATTGCAGCTTGCCATTACAGACTGTTCTATTCATTAAAGAAGCATTTGCATATTTACTCTACATCTTGTTCCTCCTTTTTTGCCAAGCCATAATCCTGTTTTTTGTTCCCAGGCCGTGGCGCACGACACGACAGGCCTTATTTCCATTTGAGCGTTAACGTGCCCTGAAACATCCTATTAACATCAGCTGACCTTCTCACACGCCTGCTCTGAGTGTGATATCTAGGCCACAGATAAGAGGAACTTATCCAGACCCTAGCACATTAACACTAGCACTGCCATAGCAGAGTATGCAGTAACCCACAGTCAGTGGAGGGGTCACATTTCCAATATTTCAACTAACCTTTCAATATATCATTGCTTTCAGTGTATCACCAAAGTGGGAACATTGAAGGAGATGGTAAATTTTCTTTCCTTTAATGTGAGTTCATTTAAAGAGGTTTTATTCCAGGCAAATTTGGAGCATTTTTTAAGGACAGCAATGATATGTATAGTATTTGCTGACCACACAACTCTTTTTCTTTCATGCACCAGAAGCCGGAGCCCTAATAATGATAAAATGCCTCAATGCCACGTGAGACTGGATATGGAAGTTTAAATAAAAGCAGCACGGGGAAGACTAATGAGATTAAATCCTCGGGGAAGAGGAAAAGCTGAGACACAGTAGCTCACGAGGCAGCAACACCACACACCTGCAAAGTTCACAGTTACTCAAAGATAAGACCACATTTACACCACAAGACAAATGTAACCCTAACTAACAACTGAAATACATCCAGATTACATTAATGTCTTTCAAATCAGCCATTTGTCTCTCTTGTTACCCTGTTAGAAATAAAGGTTCTGTGCAGGTGCTTTTTTTCATTTATCAAGGTACAAACAATGTAAATGTACCCGCAAAGGTACAGCAGTGATTTTAAGGCCAATTGTGTACCTTAAATAATTTTTTTTCCCAGGTAAAAAGTACAACCCCATTTCCAAAAAAAAGTTGGGATGCTGTGCAAAATGTAAATGAAAACAGAATGCAATGATGTGCAGATCATTTAAACCCTATATGTCATTGAAAATACATACAAATCTTAAAAACTGAGAAATTTTTTGAAAAATATATGTCCATTTTGAATTTGATGCCAACAATACATTCCAAAAAAGTTGGGACAGGAGCAACAAAAGGCTGGTAAAGTTGTGTAATGCTAAAAAAACACCAGGTGGTTGATTGGCAACAGGTCAGTAACATGATTGTGTATAAAAAGACCATCATCCCAGAGTCTTTCAGAAATAAAGATGGGGAGGGATTCCCCACTCTGTGAAAGACTGCACGATCAAATAGAGCAACAAATCAAGAATAACATTTGTCAACACAAAATAGCAAAGAACCTTTGCTTTTTATCATCTACGGTACATAATAACCTTTAAAGATTTAGAGAATCTGGAGAAATCTCTGTATGCAAAGGACAAGGCCAAAAAACAGTATTTGCTGGCCGTGATCTATGGACCCTCAGGCTGTACTGCATTAAAAACAGACATGATTCTGTAATGGAAATCACTGCATGGGCTCAGAAACACTTCTGAAAACCACTGTCTGTGAAAACAGTTCATCACTGCATCCACAAATGCAAGTTAAAACTCTTAAATGCAAAGAACAAACCATACATAAACAGGATCCAGAAACTCTGCCATCTTCTCTGGGCCCGAGCTCCTTTAAAATGGACTGAGGCAAAGTGGAAAAGTGTCCTGTGGTCCAACAAATCAATGAAATTCTTCATATTAAAAGAGTCTGGGTGCTAAACTGGCCTTCCTGTAGTCCAGATCTGTCACCCACTGAGAACATTTGGCGCATTATGAAATGAAAAATATGACAAAGGAGACCCTGAACTGATTAGCAACTGAATCCTATATCAAACAAGAGTGGGAAAACATTTCCCTTTCAAACCGACAGCAGTCCGTCTCCTCAGTTCCCAAATGCTTACAGAGTGATGTTAAAAGAAGAGGTAATGAAACACAGTGGTAAACATGCCCCCATCCCAACTTTTTTGGAACATGTTGTTGGCATTTAAAATGGGCATATATATTTAAAAAAACCATAACATTTCTCAGTTTCAACATTTGATTTGTTGTCTCTGCAATATTTTCCTTTAAAAATATAGTTTACATGATTTGAATATGAATTTGAATTTTTCACAGTGTCTCAACTTTTTTGGAAATAGGGTTGTACATGTTCATACCTTTTCATAACCTCATGTTTTAAAATAGATCAATAAAATAAAAAGTCTGGAGACGAGACGGGGTGTGTGGAGTCAATACAACTACATATAGAAAATATAATTTCAATGGATTATGGTACAATTTTGTTCCCTGACTAAAGGTACTGAGATGTACCCTTGAGGGTACCACCTCAGTGACAAGAGGGGTACTGCCCCAGGGACAGTTTACTACCTTTTTTCTGAGAGTGTACCTGCTGGAAACAGATAAAAACAGGAGCATTAATAGTGTGCATCAGAACACACATACTACATCAGTACAGCGCTAAACTGCAGGGTGCCTTGTAAAAAAGATAGACTTCATTTCAATTAAAGTGATGTGACATTTAAGCCAGCACATTTAAACCACTTCTGAAATGTACTGATTCATAATAGAAGTCCATAAACTTTTCAAATGTGCCTCCCTCCAATTTTTGCAAAAATCATTTTTATTATTCAACCTTATTCTACATATTTTAATCGCTCTACCTAAAAACATGAGAGGGCACTCTCAGGGGTACACCTTTAGTATCTTTAGTTAGGAACACAATTGTACCATATTTCATTGCAGTTCTGTTTTTAAATTGCTTTGTTTTGTTATTGAAAGGTGTAGAAGGTTGTCTCCATTTATTAATTCAATTCAACCATATTTACCAATTTTTTCTGTTTTAAACCACTAGGTTATCAAAAACTACAAAAGCATACCTTTCAACTAGTAACCTATGAAAAACATATCCAACATACACAGTTTGGTTTTACGACCATTGCTGCATCATTGAAGGTACATTTATGTCTGTGCCTTAGTAAACAAAAATACACCTGCACAGTGTCTGACTGTATATGGGTAGACAATATGGCAAAAATATAAATCATGATACTTCAAAACATTGTTATGATGCTCAATATGTATCACAATATTTAATTTTGGATACTGTTTTGGATGTTAAGTTGGAACAAAAAAAACATAAGTGCCATACTTAGATACTAAATATTGAAACTATGAAAATTAAGTATTTTGTTCACATTTTGTTCAGATGTTCATGCTGCACCACACAAACTCCAATTAGACTATTTATTCTCTCTTTTTAATGAAAAAATGGATTTCAGGGTTCTTTGAGTAGTGATGATCCATAACTGCTCAGAAATGTATACTGTGACATAATTTATTATGATAGCCATAAATATTATCATATTGTCCACCCCTGCTTGAAATGCTTAGCTCTTTGAAAAATGTGTAATGTAAAAATTGTAATTGTGTAATTATTTGTATTTTCTTCTATTTTCATTATTCACATAATGCTGAATAAATTTTTTGTCTTTTATTTTTCAATATTTTCTATCGGTCAGTTATTTTTTCTCGTATATTCTAATTTTATTTTTAACTTGATCTATTTTCGTATTTGTTTTTGCAAACTTTACAGGAAAAAAATAAAATTAAGAAAAAAGTAATGCATTACTAGACCGCTGGGATAGGCTCCAGCTCTCTCTGCGACCCAGAAGGATAAGTGGCTTAGAAAATGTGTGTGTGTCTGTGTGTGTGTAATGCATTATTATTATTATTATTATTATTATTATTATTATTATTTCAGCCATCACTCACCCAATACGATCTTCTGGGAACCATTTAAAGTGGGCGGCATGCCAGAAAAAGGAGGCCAGATATCCACCAGGTCAGAGGGCAGGGTGGTGAGCTTGTTGCTGGAGATGTCCAGGTAGGTGATGTTGACCAGGTAAGGCGCGGCGTCCACGGGGACGCTGGTGAGACGGTTGTTGTGCAGGTCAAGCGTCCTGAGGCTGGGCATCTCTCTCAGGGCCTCCCAAGGGAAGGTGGAGATTTGGTTGCCGTCTAGCCGGAGCTCGTGCAGGACTTTCAGGTTGTAGAAGCTCCCCGGGTCCACGGAGGTGATGGAGTTGTAGGTGATCCACAGGAACTGGAGTTCAGTGAGGTAGTAGAAGGCTTCGGTGGGAATCCGACGAACCGCTGTTTTCTCCACCCGCAGCTTCACGGTGTCCACCGGCACATTGACTGGGATGTCCGACATGTCTGGGTCATTACACAGGACGGTCCTGGGGAAGTGTGGAGAACATTACAGAAGAGCATGGGGGGTAACCCTTCCAGGGGCATTTCTACACGGACACGGTTCAACAGAACGCTTAAAACAGTTAGCTAACTGCGTTCATGGCCACAGAACCGTTAAGTGGGATGAAGTAACGACATATTGGTGTTTTGCTCAGCATTTACTAGGCGGTCCACCAAGAGGCTATGCACATTTAAAAATTTGATCGGGGGGATTAAAAAATCCACCATGCAATAAATGTCAAAGCTTCAATCTAACACCAATTTCTAAATGAAAAATGGCACTGCTAACCAGGAGAAAGTGGCTGGTTAGCATTAGCTTAGGTAACAAAAACTTTACTCATGCAAGTTTAGATGTTAATGACTCAAATCTGAGGAAGTGATGCTGAATGGCTGGCGTTAGAACGCCAAAATTAAACCCGTTCTGTGGGACTTGGAGCTGTAGCTTCCTAGCTAAGCTAATGCTAGCCAGCTGCTCTCTCCTAGATGGCTTAGCTTCCAAATACTTCAGTATGGGTTCATTCAGACTAACTGATGCTCTGCTATCACAAGTATAGACGATAAACATATAACAACAAGAGCAAAGTGGACTGATTGCTGTGAGAGTGACAGAAAGCTGAAATCAAACCTGTTCTGTTGTGTTTTAAGCTCGGTTACAGGGAACCAGTGCTTAAAGAAACCCTGTTTAAAGGATAAAGACTCATATCTGAGATCACAAATTCGAATGTCTGGTGTTGAAGTGACAGAAATATAAAAATTGGCTTGTTCTATGAAACTTCGAGCTGCTCTACAGTAGTTACTGGTTTTCACTGGTAACAGTGCTGATTTTCACAGATCTGTTGCTTATTGTTAGTCTGATAGGACTCTAACAGTCATCAGTTATCATTTTTAATCATTCTTAATCTACTTCTCTCCACTGAAAGGCTGTTTTTCCCCTTTTCTCTATTTTAATATTTTATATTAATTGGAAACGTTATTCTCAAGAAACCTTAAGAGGAACTGAGACTCAAATGGGGAAACAGGAGGATAGGTTTTTTCTGCTTTGTGACAATGTCTGTTGTAAAAAGCGCCATATAAGTTTCTTTGACTTGACTGTACCCTGCAGGGCTATGTTAATGCTAGTGTTGTTAGCTGGCTACAGGTGTAGCCCACTGTAGTACAGGCTCAGTTTCAGTAACTGCCCAACTGAAAAAAGACCCTTAGAAACCATTAGAGTGACAGGCACAATGTCTTGTAGTGGGTGTTGTGTGTGTAGCTATGCTGTTAGCAGTCAGCCACTCCTTTGTGTAGTTTTTCTTCAGCATTTTATGCTTTAGCAGCACAGCAGATGGGAAAAGAAACAGTCTCACGAGTCCGCATCAGCGTGGAACCGCACAGTACGGCCCTGAGAACCATTTGGCTCTGCAGTGGAAAAGATCCCGATGTTAAAGTTTCAAAACGTCTAAGTATGGACACTAAGCTGCAAAACAGCCACTGTTTTTAGGATGTCACTATAACTAATGCATTTACATATATCCGCCTTTTTTAGCCTTCAGCAGTTTAGTTCCGCCCACTCATGCTGAAGTTATAAGGACTGTTTCAGCCTGGGCTGTTTTTTGAATGCGGCACAATACAGGGCAGCCAATCAGAACAGAGCTCATTTACATCATATTTCAGTCTTAAAGGTGCAGTAACAACAACATCAGCATGTTTAATTTGAATGCAGAATAGCCATGTATAAATGAATTATGAGTTTTTGAGACATAATGCAAGACAAATTTAATAAGAGGAAATCAACAGGAAAAAGAAACAAACATTATTTGTAGTTTCTTCAAACTTTAAAAAGGTTCCCCAATTATAAAAACGGTTGGGAAACCAAAAGTGGTTCTTCTATATCTTTGTGCAAAGAATCCTTTTTGCCATCTTTACTTTGAAAAGTTTACTTTTCCCAGACTTTTCTTGCTGTTGCTAATTCTATGGGAAAAGTCTCCTTCACTCCCTGTGTTGATAACAGTTTATTACACTGAGCTGTTTTTAACTCTTTCCTCACTCCTAAAGTGACAACTGATTGAGCTAAACAAAAAGTGAATCTGATTCAAACTAAACATGCATGGTTGCACTGTTTGTAGTTGTTCTTTCCATACAAGTTCAAATTTCTTCAGACGTCCACAAAACATAACACTGATGAGGTTCGTATGCAGTGTTGTCAGATAAAGACCGCATCAGTGATTCATGTCGCAGCGTGCTGAATCACTCAGGAAAATATTAGGAATGTGTGTGCGCTAATCTGTTTATGTTGCTTAAGAGGAACAAAGTGATTATCAACGTCATTAATATGCTAAGTAGAAAATGTACACGGCTAATCAGAACACACCGGTGCTTGTTTGTTTGTAGGCCACAAAAATGAATGTTTCTGTAAGGTTACGCTCAATTTGGATCTGAATTGTGGGCGTAAATTTTGTCTATATTTAAATTATGCTGATAGATTATCACTGCAATGGAGAAATGAGCTTATCTATGGATTTTTCTATTATTTAGAAGCCAACCTCACAGGCAGCTGCAACAAATCAGCTGTTAAAACAGAATGTAATTATTTGATGCAGCATTTAGCTGTACAGCTTTTAAGGGTTGGTTTCAGAAGTATATTGTTTACTGTTATCCACAACCCATGTTCACACTGTGTAAGTGTAAATATTTCACCCCCTCAATTTGTGCCACACTTGAATGAGGTCAGATAATAAAAAATGTCCACAGTAACAGTATGTCCATTACAGAGTACAAGGAGAATATAAAAGGCAGTTGCCACGCCATTCCAGGTGGTTGCTAAGGTGTTGCTTGGCTGGTCTGATGCTATGCCATTCCAGGTGGTTACTAAGGTGTTGCTAGACCATTGCTATGCTATCAAGGAGGTTGCTAAGGTATTGCTAGGCCATTGCTATTTTATCAAAGGGGGTTGCTAAGGTGTTGCTTGGCTGGATCAATGCTATCTCAGGTGGTTGCTAAGGTAATGCTAGGCCATTGGTATTGTATCCCAGGTGGTTGCTAAGGTGTTGTTATAGTATCCATTGCGGTTGCTGTAAGTATATTCTAATATTATTAAACTTATTTCTAGATGCCTAGAAGTTGTTTTATCCACATATGATTCTTATTTTATTGGCAGATGTCTTGAAGCATGATTTCTTGAAACAAAATGTTCTGCCCATAGAATTATTGAAACAGGTAACAAACATCTAGAAATAAGTTGAATAGTATTTTCATAATAGTCTTACATAATGTTAGATGTTAGATATAAGGATTAGGCTAAAGTGAAATCAAGACAATAAACTGTAGTTTTTTTGTAGATTTAATTTAAGAATATTTACCCTTATCATGCTGCTTTTAAGTCATTTCTGTCACAAAAGAAGTGCTCATCAGGTTATTATGATTAATTTGCCAATAGTTTTGATGTGAAATCAGGGCTATTTCACTTTCAGATAGTAGGCTTCACTTACAATGTCTAACTTGTTATTTGATGTTATTTGAAAAGCTCTGTTGGGTGTAATTCTCATGGAAATTCTCAGGAAACACTTTGTTATAAGACTTGTGAAATATTCAGAGTTAATACTAGATTACTTGCAGTTGTATAGTGTTACCAAGAGACTTTTGAAAGAAAGAAATAGACTCATATTGAGTCCCTATATCTTTTTATTCTGCCTGGAAAGAGAATCTGTTTGTGTGTGTCATGTTTAAAAAGCTATATTTACATATTTTCTGACTAAATATGAAATTTAGGGTATAGAAGTTGATATTAGTGCTTATTTCCTAACATTGTAGCAATTTGGGCAATTTTTGATCAATATAATGCTCATTACAAAACTGTGGATCTCCAAAGTGGTAACTTTACAGGAGAAGGAAAAACATTGTCAACTTTGAATGGAGGTTAATTTATAAAATATTTAGTATTACATTTTAGTCCATTTTATCATTTTGGATCATTTTTGTTTGTTCATTCGTCACAAGCTGACATATTAATATGACAGAGATGATATGCTGCCGGAGAGGTGAAGGTGGTTTACCTGGTTCCTGTTCCATCGCTGCGGGAATGAAACACACAGGTACACTGTGACGGGCAAAACGGCTGGACCAAATGCCAACAGCACAGCAGCACCTGAACCACCAGGAGACGCCGCATCCTTCACTGAACACCACACACACTCACACACACACATCAGAGCCCACCCACCGCACACACACTCATCCACCGACACTCACACAGCCACCGGCCCGCTGTGAAAATGAGGAAAAGCGGACGCTGGGCATTCCCGGAGCTTCGTTTCTCACGTCCAGGTGACCAGCACGTCTCCAGGTTTGGCTGGACAGGTGGATCAGGCTGGATTGTGCTGGATTGGGGGGGTGAGTGGAGGAGAGTGTGGATTAGAAAGAGGATTTCTCCAAGCTGAGTAGGTCATGGAAGTCGTGTGTGTGTGTGTGTGTGGGGGGGGGGAGTGTTAAGGGTTCATTGGTCATTTTTTAATGTTAAACAATTTGGTAACACTATATCAATCATTCAATCAATCAATCCATCAATCAATCAATCAATCAATGAGTCTGCCCTTATTTAAACTTGGAGTACATTGAGGGCAACCCTCATCTGCAGACGAGCATTAGAACAGAGGATTGAAAAAGGTAACAATGATGTGAAAAGGTAAAACACAGAAACATATCAGACCAGCAAAAATGACAAAATATTTGTAAATATATTGGAAGTTTGTGAACTCATTAGGATTTTTTATATTCCTGCATTAATTTGACCTAAAACTTCCCACAAGTCCTATTTTTTAATAAATAAATAAATTAATTTGTTTAATAAATAAAATTATTTAATAAATAAATGACTAAGTCAAATATTTGTGTCTCATTTAATTTGGTTCTCTTTAACTACTATCGGGAAGAAGTTTTAGGTCAAATTTATGGAGAAATATAGAAAATCAAGCACCACTGTATGTATGTTAAATATGTTTACATATATATATATGAACAAATAAGAGCAAAAACAATAAAATGTACCAAAAAAGGCCACCTACACAGAGACTTCATGACAAGCACGGAATAACATATTTAAAAAGCAATAGCATTTGTGAACAGCTTATGCCAGTAATCACAAGGTGACATAAGACGTTTAATAAAATAAACGACTTTGTACCGACTTAAAGGACCTTAATGTTGAGTTGTTGAAGGCAATTAATACATTCTGAAGATGCTAATCGGCTAACAGGCTAACTCTGAAAAGGTTTCCCCCGATGGTCATGTGACCATCATCAGACTCCGTCCTGACACTTTTCCATCCGCCACCTATTACAGTCTATATTTAACACTTAAACACCCCCACCCCTCTCTTTCTCTCTCTCTCTCTTGCTCTCTCACTCTCTCCCTCTGTCTTACTATCTCTCTCTCTCTTTATCCTCCTATCCCCTTCCTCTCTCTCTTCTTTTTCTGTTCTTCTTTCTTTCTCCCTCTGTCTCTAACCTGTCTCTCTTCTAAACTGTCTCTTTTTTGCCTTTCTTCCTCTTCATCTTTTATTCTTTCTTTCTCTCTCCTTCTCCTTCTTGCTCCAGTGCTGCACCCCTTCCTCACTTCCTGTCTGTAACTTGTCGAGCTTTTTTTATTTCTTTCTTACTCTCTCTCTCTCTCTCTCTCTCTCAGATGTGTCATAAATCATGAACTGGACTACAGCTCACACTCAAGTGTCACTCTGTTTTCCACACGCAATGGAGAGAGAGAGAGAGAGAGGAGAGAGAGAGAGAGAGAGAGAGAGAGAGAAAGAGAGAGAAAGAGAGATTTTTTTTCTCTATGCCTTTCAATTGAAAATAAAAATAACTGGCTCATCCTGATCATCTAGCCCAGTATAATGTCATGGTTGATCTCATCAAATGTTCGTAGCAAATTTAATATAAAGAAAAATCTTCTGTGGCTGTTTTCACATTCTTTCAGGATTCCAGATCTTCATTCCTGAGAATCTTCTCCAGGTTGTGGAGAATGTGAGTGAGCAGCACCTGTGAGTGTGTTAGTGTGATTTTCACACGTATCTGTGATACACAACCAAGACTGAAGACAGAAACGGTCACTCCTAAAAAAAACGATTGATCACTCTGTAGTATTACAAGAACTTAATATTGTTAAACATAAACAGATAAATACATAAAATACACCAGAAATACAAAAATATCCAAAGATTATGAAATAAAATAGTATTTTAACTTATTACCTTTATTATTTACTGTACTATTGTTTTGGTATTGTGCTACTTTCTATGAGTGCTATGTCAATAAGAATCTATGATCACATTCATCACACTTTATAAATTATTCCTAAGACATCAGATACATTGTTATAAACATTTATGAAAATACATTACTCGTTAAAGCCTTTTTATTATACGTTATGAATTGCATCATGCAACAATGCATTATAAGAAGTGTTCATAACATGACTCAGTTTATATCACAATACCTACATTTAGAGCCAGTTATTCATTCAAATTAATGAAAAACTGTACAACAGACTCAAAAGTAAAAACTGTAGTACAGTATGCAAAAGTTTGGGCACCCCAGTCAAATTCCATACTTTGTTCATTTTCTAAAATCGGAAGACAAGTATACATATTCTCTACTGAGATCATCATTAAAGCATAATGCTCAATTCAAAATATTGGGGAAAGAATACATAAAATGTGTCCTATGCAAAAGTTATGGCACATTTTATATTTTATGTTTTCCAGTGTGTTAAACTCAGTTAGTAAATAAAAATTGTACTTGGAATTTTTCAAAAATATCAATAAAATTTTACCAGGAGTAATTTCAACATTTGTACCCGACTGCACTATACAGTTAATTCCAAATGCCTGAGAGCAATAGTGAAAATGCTTCTACTTTGCACTACTTTTTTTTAATACATTTTTTCATTAGAAATGATATTATCAGCATAACAACCTCAGCAAAAAGTAGAATCTTTGAATGTTTACATAAATTTCAGAATTTCTTAGTATTTGGACTCTCTTCACCTGAGAGTCATCTGAACATGAGCTTCCCTGCAGAGATCAGACAAATCTAACCTTTTTGTACAAAAATCTCACAAATTTGGTTCAGTTTGAATAGTGAGGTAGCAATAGTGCAGGATGTCAAACATTTCTTCTTCATAACTCCACTTTGCTTTACCTTTTTTCAAATTTTAAAAGATTCTGGTTCTTATTTTTAGGTTTAAATGAAAATAAAACAAATTTTAATGTCGTCTCAGACTTTTGGTTTAAAAATACTGCACTGTAAAAATACACACACATGCACATCATCTAAACCGCTTATCCTTCTGGGTCGCGGTGGGGTGCTGGAGTCTATCCCAGCTGTCATTGGGCAGAAGGCAGGATACACCCTGGACAGGTGCACTGTAAAAATACTGGTATAAAAATTTAAAAGGATTTTAATGTTGTTTAAATGCCATTGTTTGTTAGTGTAAAGATGTGTGTTATTTGTGCTTTATTGTGTCTAGGGGTGTGGGTGTTCTGTGTTGGGGAGTGGGTTTAGTTTAGTGTGGGTTGGTGGTCACCAAGAGGACAAAGTGTATGGATAGTGGTGACCTCTCCTGCGAGTTCACTGCTTTGTATGTGCCTTTCTGGTGTTGAATCAAGAGTATTTCTTATGGTGGAATCTTCCCTTCCATCAATCTTTCCCTGTGTCTTACTCTATGCTACAGTGGTGTCAGAAGTGGGATAGCGCAAGCAGATGCTCATGATAGGTGCGTGCACTCCTAAAAATGAACTTATTGTTATAATTGTTGTTAATGTTGTTGTTTATTAGTCTAAAGTGTGTATATCTGTTGTGAATTTTGTGTCAGCGTGCGAGTTTAGATAGTGTTTATGTTCAGTGTTGGTCATGGCAAAGGTGACATCTTGTGGCTAGTGGGTGTGGGTGTTCCGTGTTAGGGAGTGGGTTTAGTTTGGTGTGTTTTGGTGGTCACCATGAGGGTGAAGTGTATGGCTAGTGGTGACCTCTTCTGCGAGTTCAGTTTTGTATGTGCCTGTAAGAGCTCTTCTCATAGAGGAATCATTTCCTCCCCTCTGTCTTACTGTACGCTGATGCCACAATACACTATGCATCTGAGAAACAAAATAATTGGGCACAAATTGGAGGTCTAAAAGCTTTGTTTGCATAATAATAAGTTTCCACCATTAAAATGACCACAAGCAAGAGAGTATTTATTAACAAGTACACCAGTGTATTTATTTATGCAAGCAGTTTGTCCCTACAGATCAGAAAAGCCACTGTCAAGCGGTTGGCACATTTATGTACAAAACAGAATCATGGTACAGCCTGCTACTAAGCATTCTTTAGTGAGTGTACAAAAGACTAATACAAGGAGAGAGAGAGAGAGAGAGAGACAGAGAGAGAGACAGAGAGAGAGAGAGAGAGAGAGAGAGAGAGAGACAGAGAGAGAGAGAGAGAAGGGGATAGGGTTTGAGAAAGCAACAGAGGAACAGGGCTGAGAATGGACTGAGGGCAGTTATAGAGTTCACCACAAACTAAACAGTTACAAATCAAACACTACCATCGAACAGCAGGAGATTCAGAGCAATGCAGTCAGCATAGGGGTCCAATTATTACTGCACATCGGGAGAGTAGGGGATGACCCAGCTAGACAGTTGCAGGAAACAAACTCATAAAAAGGTGAAATGAAAGCATTTTTTTCAGTATTTTTTTCTTTTAAATTCATCTTTTGGATCCAGTAAAAACGATTACCACTAAATGCATGACCATGCCACAAATAACACCTAGAATTCACAGTCTTTACCTAACGTTACAGCGGGATCCAACTGGCCAGCTGAAATCCCAATGCACTTACACTGAGAAAGAGCTCACAAAATGGTCAAATATAAGTGCACGAAACTAGCTCTTAGAAACACTGACAGAACATGACTTGCCAGGCATTGAAAAAGAATGATAAGACACCTCCTTTGTCCATAGTCTCAATAGTATAATGACTTGCAAGACAACATGTGACATGTTTACTGTCGTCAAGGTAATAGAACCTCTTTAATATCTGATTCTGTTGTGATATTCCCCCCTTAAAAACAAATCACCCAAAAAATGTGACCACAAACACATCGCCTGAATTGTTTTCTCTTCTTCTTCTTTTTTTCCTTTAAAGGACATCATCCCCTCCTCCTCCTCCTCCTCCTCCTCCTCCTCCTCCTCCATCACCCCCACCCCTCATTCACTAACATGGAATGTCATTTTTGATTCACCTGAAATCGAAGTGCTTACATACGGTACATGTATACATTTACAGAATGACTATTTACAAAAGCAAGACAAAAAATGTGATTTTAAAAAAAACAAACCAACAAAAAAGGACGGTCTACTTACCTGTATCTATTATCTGTAGGAAAATAAAAGTGGGGATAATAACACTGTAGGCTTATGCATGTGTGGCAGTCAGCCAGTACAGAACTTGTTGCATTATTACTCAAGAAGGAGTTAGCTTTCAAAGGCATACGCCAGCGTTTTTCAACCTAATCCCTACCTGCTCTATCCATAGCTGACAGTCGCTTACCCTGGACAATACTTTCAATGCATGTCTCTGTACTTACTACTTAGAAAAGCACAGAAGACCTGGTGTCTTGAAATATACCAATAATAGAAGCACTTTTACAATGGAAGTCAGTGGGCAGATGTTTCTACCTACTTACAATGGATGTAAATGGGCAGATGCTAAGATGCATATATAATGGAAGTCAATGGGCAGATGTGGAACCACACTTAAAATGGAGGTCAGTGGGCAGATATGGAACCACACTTTAAATGGAAGTCAGTGGGCAGATACTTCAGCACACTTACAGTGGAAATCAATTAGCAGATGTTTCAGCACACTTATATGGACAGATGCCTTTGGCTTCCATTATGAATGTGGCTCAGCATCTGCCCACTGACTTCTATTACAAGTGTGGCTCAGCATCTGCCCATTGACTTCCATTATATGTGTGTCTCAGGATATGCCCCTTGACTTCCATTGAAAGTATGGTTAAGTGTCCGCTCATTGACTTCCATTGTAAGTATGCAGAAGCATCTGCCCATTGACTTCCATTGTAAATATGCTTAAGCATGTGCCCATTGACTGCCCATTGTGGGTCAGCATCACCCAATTGACTTCCATCATGAGTGTGGCTGAGCATCTGCTCTTTGACTACATTATAAATGTGGCCCAGCATCTGCCTGTTGACTTCCATTTTAAGGTTTTGAGTCAACAGCTTTATTTTCATTTTTTGCTACGCACAGGGATTATTATCTGATATAACTGACAATATGCTATAGATATGTAAAACAGAGTTTAGGTTGAAAAACGCTGAAGTATTCGTTTAATAGACTTGAGCTGTTGACACTCCACCCAATAGGAGCAATGCATAAGCACTATTTATTCTCCCTCTGAAGAAGATAACAATGCCCCAAAACTGGCAGGCTGTGCGTCCCAGGAAAACAGGACAAACACAGCAAGCAACTTATAACCATTTTCTCTTACTCACTATGCAATGATATCTGTAGAAAAATAATAAATAAACACTTTATGGTACATTTCTTATTCGTTTTGTCTTTCTTTTTTTGATTTTTTTTCTTTTTCTTACTTCTGTTTCCAAAATAGTGCAGGATCGACGAGCGATCTGCTACGTCCGGGCCAAAAATCTTTCACTGATTTAAAAAATAAGTCAATAAAAAAAAATATCAAAAAAGAAAAAAAAATGTTTCTTTTCCAATTTTTTCATTCATGTGTGAAGTACTTGAAAATGAGATCACAAACACACATGAAAAAATGTGCTTTACACCCCACAACCGACCCGTTGAATAAGGAGGACGTGAATACTGATGTTTTTCAAAACAAAACAGAAAAAATAAACTTGCATAAAGTTTTACTGTGACTGATGTCAAACAATAAATGAAAAATAAATGAACCTGCACGATCTTTGAGAAAATAAAAAAACATACAATACTGTAAAAAACTACAACACTACAGCTACTTCTACATAGTATTAGTAAAGAAGATAATAATAATAATAATAATAATAATAACAATAATAATAATAATAATAATAATAATAATGCTTGTGCCAGAGGTAAGGGGTTGGCCATGGGGTTGGTCATGTGACACTCCTGTTGGACAGCACCAGCGCCGAAACTCCCCCTATAAAGGAAGTGAGAGCACTGAGGGTCCTCTCCCGCTCCTCCTGTTTTATGTGTAGGCGTTGAGGCGCTCTTTGGAGCGCGTGGAGTGGATGTCGTGAAGCTCCTGCTCCTCCTTGGACTTGCAGTCCTCATATTTCTGCATCTTACATGCGTCCTTCACGTAGGCCCAGTTAGCGGAGAGCACCATCAGATAATGGATCTGAAACAGATGTTATATTAGACTCAGTTATATTTTAGACTTAAATATGAATATATACATTTACAGGTCATTCTATCGAACTGGCTTATAATCAGAGCTGAAAACACATATTGGACTTTTAACTGATCTTGGATTTTAGACTAAAATCCTTTCACATTAAGTGAGTCTTTACCTTAATTATGTTTATTTTATTAAAACAAATCATAAAACTACCTAAACTTTACCAAATGTTTCAGTAGTGACTGTTTCGGTAGTGACATTTTTAGCTCATCTTAAGCAGAACTCAAAAACGCAGCCAGTACATGACCAGCAAACACAGCTTTGAACAGCTATACACACATAAAATTATCATATTTTTCATTAAAACACATCAACTGCAGAAAATATGACAATTCTTATTGTTCCACACTGATTTTCACTGATGACTTCTAAACAATGGGCTCTAACCTCTCACCATGTGGCCATGAGGGACTGGAATGCAGCCCCACTTCCTGCTCTAAAATGCTCCGCCTACAGACTAAAACTTTCAGCAGTGACATGAAAACGTGGGACAGCATTTTATTTTCAATTAAGCTCATGATAAATCTAAATCTTTCAACGTTACTTAAAAAAAGAGGTTTAAAAACAACAACATCGAAAAAAAATACCAAAGAAGTATTATTTTATAAAGTATTATTTTCAGACATGTAAATTTAGGGGTTCGGGTTTGGGACAGATACCTCCCAATAGAAAGTACCATATAAATGATGATTTTGTATATATTTAGCTTATTACTCTGTTAATAATAAAGCTATTTAGACTCCACCCTCCCTCATCACAAAGCACCTGATTGGTTGAAACACATTAACAAGGACAGCTATTACACTAATTAACTTATTTATTCTAACTTATTTATTTATTATCATGTTTTTCATTTTGGACATGATTAATGCACAAATGTGAATTTAATTATGTATGTCTTAGAAACAACTTTTATTCAGAGGCCTTAAGCTCTAAATGTAAAAAATGGACTCACTGGTAGCATACACACATAAAAAATCTATTTTTATTTATTTAACATAATTAGTACAAGATTATTATTATTATTATTATTATTATTATTATTATTATATACAAATATATGCAAACACACACATATATGTATATATATATATATATATATATATATATATATATATATAGATTGATAGATAGATAGATAGATAGATAGATAGATAGATAATGCATATAAATGTCAAATATTCTAACACTGTCCTGTATGGTACACAATACATGTTCCCACTGGACCTTCTCTGCTATCATTTAACATTTAGAATTACAATGTAATGTTAATAAAATCATATTATAAAGTGTAAGTCATTTTTTTTACACCACGCCTAGTCCTTCTTGTCCTTTTCTTTGCCACCTGTTTATAAGCTCTGCCAGGTTTGCTGAGACTGGGTGACGTCAGTGGGCAGCACTAAAATTAGCTCTGGTTCCAGCAGGGGGCAGTGTTGTAGCGCAGTGGGGGGATTTCAACTTCATCCACACCTTCAACTCCAACACAATGACTTCATAAATCTGATTCCTCCACACAGACTGTCTACACAGGCAGACTGTTCATTACATTCCTATGAATTAAGACCACTAGACGCACCAGCACAACATCGCGCAAAATACAGAATGTCACACATACAGCACAATATCATGTTTGTACTGATATTTCTTTATTGTGAACTTCACGACAAAGGAAAAGTATCAGTCACATAAATCTATCAATCATATGGATCAATCTGATAGATGTGAATATAGATCAATCAGTATTAATTATAAAGTAAATATGAATTATTAATGTGAATGAGTGACCTCACAGCAGCTTTACTGACTGTTTCCTGATGTTCCGCTTCATAAGCAAAACCTGGAATGCATTGTGCAATGTGTGCACTTGAAATATGAATTCAAAGAGAAAAACAGCTGCCATACAGTCTTTTTTGCAAAAGTTTGCGCACCCCTGGTCGAATGTCAAAAGATGCTTTGTTCAACACCTCTACACAACTGGAAGTTAAAACTTGCAAAAACCTGCAACTTGCCTGTGCAAAAGAAATTCTTTTTAAATATGCAGACTTCTGAGAAAGACATGTATGTTTCTTGCATTATGTTTATTATAGAAATATTTTATAATCAATATAAATATTTATTAGCAATCAGAGAATCAACAGATTATGTTGTGTGACCAAAGGTGCCCAAACTGTAGTCATAGGTAATATTCTTGTATATATCAGAGTAATATTATGCAAATGTATTCATGATTATGTGAACAAGGCCACACCCCACTCTTCCTCCACATTAGCACTGAAAGATGGACAGCCTTCCCTTTCAGCTTTTTAAAATTTCTGCCATTTGCACCATCATGCCTTATTCTCTCTCTACCCCCCTCTCTCTCTCTCTCTCTCTCACACACTCTCTCTCTCTCTCACTCTCTCTCAGAAAATGGCTTCTCACAAATTACTGAGTGATGTTTGCAACAAGCTCCAGGCCTTTCTTCCTCCAGTTTCCATAGCAACTATATGATATACCCAGCATCTCTCTCTCTGTCTCTCTCTCTGAGAGAGCGCAAAGAGGGAGAGATGGAGAGAGGGAGGAGGAGACAGGAAAAGGAAGAAAGATGGAAAAAAGAAAGAGGGAAAGCAAAAGAGAGAGGGGGAAAGAAAAAGAAAGAAAGAAGATAGAGATAAGGAAAGAAAGAGAAAGACAAGAAGGAAAAGAGAGAAGAGAGAGTGAGAGGAAAAGTGGAAAAGATGGTGTGGGTGTGAGAGGGAAAGAGATAGTGAGAGGGAAAAAGAGAGAGATAGAGGGAGAAGGGAAGAAAGGAACAGAGAGAGGTGAAGAGAGGGAGAAATTCAAAAAGGGAAGGAGAGAAAGAAGATGAGAGAGATAAAAAAAGTTAAGAATCAAAGCAAAGAGAGAGGATGGAAAAGAGAAAGTGAAGAAGATAGACAGTGAAAGTGAAGAGAGAAAAAAGAAGAGAGAGAGGAAAAGAGGGAGAGGAAGAGTGATAAAGGAAAAGCGGAGCAGATGAAGAGGAGGAGTAAGACAGGGAAATGAGTGCGGGGGAAAGATCGAGAGCGAGTGATGTCTTCAGAGCACCAAGACCCCTCCCACCCCACCAATCAGCTCTCAGCACAGAACTGACTGGGAAGGCAGGGCTGCTTATTCAACCTGATAAACAAGAACTCATTTTCCCAGAATGCCTAGAGAAGGCCACAATGGTGACTCATAGCTCCATCCTGGCATCCTCATGCAGAACCGCATAGAGAACAGTTCAGCCATTTTGTTGTAGTCACAATTTTGACAAACCCAAATAAACATATGTCCCATTACAGCAAAATTAAAATGTATCATCTACATCAATATTTATTGATGGTAACTTAGTGACAGTCACTTAGATTAGTGAGAATTAACCCATAAATATTACTCCTAATCCTAAAAACAAATCTTTTTAACCCTGTCAGATATTTCTACTTTTGCATATCTTCTATACTAGAATGGGAGATATTAGTTTATAAACAACCTCAATAAATGATCCTATACCCTAAAATAAGAGATATTAGTCCATAATAGACACTCAATAAACACTTTTATAGACTGTAACAGAAGATATTTGTCCATAAACAACCTTAATAAATGCTCCCACATTAGAATATGTGACATTACTTCATAAATGATCTCAAAAATACTCCAATATGCTAGAATAGGAGATATTAGTCCATAAACCTCAATAAAATCTCCATTACACTAGAACAGGAGGTATTGGTCCATAAATGATCTCAGTAAACACTCCTACACAGAAGAATATGATATTATTCTCAGCCTCAGCCTATATGATGTTTATTATATATTAAAATGAGTTTATTAGTTCATAAACAACCTCAATAAACACTCCTGTACACTGGAATATGATAATAATCAGACTCAATAAATGCTTATTATACACTAGAATAGGAAATATTAGTCCATAAACAAAGTCAATCAATGCTTACTATAAACTAGAGTATGAGATATTAGTCCAAAATGACCTCAATAAACTCTCCTATATCCTAGAATAAAAGATATTAGTCCATAAACAACCTCAGCAAATGCTCCTATACATTAGTACAGGAGATATTAGTTACAACACAAGGGAAAAAAATAAAACACTCCAAATACAATAAAGAACAATGGCCAGTCTGATGAAGTTAAATGAGAACATGAGTTTATAACACTAATCCTGCTGTATAGTAAATGTGTAGATTTTCTCACCATGGCGATTACTGCAGCTCCAGCGCCGGCCAGTGCACACACAAACAGGTGGAAGGTCATATCCAGCTGAGGAAACAAGTATGTCAACCCTTTAAATCTTTCTTTGTTTATTTTAGTGTCTAAATCATGGAGGGATCTTAAATGGGAAAACTCACCTCTTTCGAGGTACACATGTTAGAGAATTTATCTGTTCCTGTACACACTGACTTCTCCTCTCCAATGGTCACTACGCCTGAAAACCACAACAGAGGCAGTCAGACCATCCGGCAAGAACAACCAGCTGTAAAAAAAATCATGCTGTAACTATATTAATTATTTCTAACTCATTGGAGCAAGTGGAGTGATTGTGCGAAAAAGCAGATTCTAATCTTTCAATCCAGACCACGTTAGTGTTTGGAAGTAGAAGAGGAGATATTTTATTATGATATGAATTTAACCAAAGTTTTTTTTTTTTTGTGTGTGTGTACAATTTGTTTTGTAAAAAGAAAATGTATCCTTTACATTTTTTATGAACAGAATGGAAGGTCAAATTTGGTGAATTTTATTGACCAGTAGTACAAATATAGTTAGCAGCATTAAAGAACCAAAATGCAATAAGCGTTAAATGTATAAAACATATCATTATTTATCAACTTCACTATAAATGTAATACATAAAATAGAGGCAGTCATATATGTCCTAGCTTGCACGGTATCTTTAGGGAGCCCTGAAGGCCATCGAAGCATTCAGAGAAGGCCTAATGATTTTTAGGCACTAATAAATACATGTCTGTAATTTTTTGTTCATTTTCATTTTATTGCATCATCATACATGTTGTATTTAAACTCTGTAGGTGTTGTAATAACACTCTTATGTCATTGTTAAGCTTTGGTTGGAAGCAAAAGAGTTGTTTTCTCTGTGGCATCTAGCTAGATTCAGCCAAGTGAGCTAATCCATTGTTTAGGACTTCAGGAGCTGGACTGAAGATCTTACACCTTAAATTAATGATCAACATAATTAGGAAGTGACGGAGTAACCATGTCATGTTTTGATTAGCCAATTTTGATAGAAAAAATATCAATCTAGTCCTTCTGGAAGTTCTAGATATGTCACTGACTGTGAATATGAGTCATAGTCTAAGCAGGTTTGGGTTAGTTGTTAGGAATGGAAAATAGTGGCTTCAGCTCTACACCAGAACTCTTCACTGAAAGAGTCACTGTAAAACTGATACATACAAGCTCATGTTATGTTAATGTCTGTTACAAGCTTCAAACAAAATATATGGAATGACTTTTACTAACTTCAAATGTATGTGCTTGATCTGGAAGGACTAATGTTTATGTGCTCCAGCATCAGCTTACAGCTAACATATAATTCAAAATCTCATAGGGGGGCTAGTAGAAATTAGTGCTATCTAAGAGGTATCTGTTTCTGAGTTTTGATATTTGTGGCCCAAACCGAAGGTCTAGCTAAGTCCCGAGTCTCTAGCTTAAGTCAGTGGTTTTTACTGTTAAGGGTTAGCAAGTTCAAACTACCAAAATTGAGGAGTTGTTTTTAAATCATCTGCATTTAATCACGTTTCGCAAAGAAACATGAACTGTAAACGTCTAGTCTGACTGCAGCTTAGCCTCTTAAGTAGCCAGAGTCTGCCAGTGGGCCCAAAGTATTATTACACACTTCTACAACCAAACAATAGCCCAGTGAGTTTGCACTGCAGTTACTGAATAATAAGCCTTAGTATGTAATAAGCCTGAGATTTTAAGGGGTTAAGGGTAAAAAAAAACTCTATTAATAACATCTATTCATAATGCAGGCTTTAGAAATGGCTACAAAGAGAGGAAATACCGTGATAATGTAATGACATCATGGCTGAACTGCTGGTACTGAGTGTATTGTTGTGTTGGAAAGCCCCAGGATTATCAGTCTTCAGGTTTAATATTTTTAGACGCTGCTCACCAAACTGGCGTGGGTCCAGGCACAGACTGGCTCCTTCCAGCACCGTGGTGTTCTGGCAGATGGTCCAGATGTTGAAGTACATGAAGACGGGCAGAGCGGTGAAGGCCGTCACTCCGAGCCAGGCCAGCATGAAGATGTACGTCAGCATGATGAACTGGAGGAAAGTATAGCGAATAGCAAAAGCATTAAGATCACCCTGACTAGGTAGCTCAGCACTTTTATCTATCTATCTATCTATCTATCTATCTATCTGTCTATCTCCTGTAGAAGACAATATAGATCAATACTAAATCATCCATGAAGATAATTCACTGCTACAGATAAAATATACAAGGATACTTCTAAAATAAGACACATCGTTCTTAACTGTCCCGTACCCATGCACTGACGCAGCGCCCGCAGGTGGTGATTTTGAAGTCCCCGTACAGGTCCTTAATGGCTCTGCTGGTGAAGAAACCCTCCACCATCAGCAGGATGCCATATACGAAGAAAGCCGAGGCGATTCCGTAAATCACATACTTAATGATGTCGATCCTGCAGATACAGCACAGAAGAGTTAGATACAGGTAAGAGTACATATTTGCAGAAATTTACACTACAAGCTAAAAGTCTGTTCTACAGTTTCTCATTAGGTTGAATGAATAACTGGCTCTAAATGTAGGTATAGTGATACAAACTGAGTCTGTTCTACAGTTTCTCATTAGGTTGAATGGGATTTTTACCAGCAGTCTATAAAGTCATAACTAGTCTATAGTCATACTGGTATTGGGTATTGAGCTGATACTGTGCTCATTTACTCGTACTCGTATAGCAACACTGAAACCAGTTGATACGTGATGGTAAGCAGAGTGTTTTTCCGCCACACTAATGAACAAACACAGTTAAGGAGGCTCTGCTTACACAGACACTGATAAATACAGGCAGATGTTGATAGATATTTATAGACTGTGTGTGGGAGGTGTAGATTTTGCCAGAAGGGGGCGCTCACATGGTGAAAACATCCAGGGAGTCTCCGGGTGCTCTGATCACCTCAAAATAATTCTGCAGGATGGTGACCGTGCCAGACAGAGCTTCATGACCACAACCGCAGAAAAGTGCCACACCGGCGTACAGCAGGATGGTGGCGATCAGGGACGGATACGGGATTCCCCGCAAACACTTCACACAACACTCCATACATCCTGAGGAGAGAGAGAGAGAGAGATATACTTCAGACTTTGCTCAGCTGAAAATACATAAACAATAATCGTGTATAGATAGGCAGAGAGACAGACAGACAGACAGATTCATTCCTATTCATACACAATGAGAATGAATGCAACAGTGAACAACAGTGAATGTGTCTGTGTGTGTGTATTGGTTTTTCTCAGCAGTGTCCAGTCAGCTTCACTTCAGCCTCCTCCCTGACTGGAATAACAAAATATCACCACAGCAACAGAGCTTCGTCCACACAGGGATGAGCAGAGTTAGTGTGTGAGCGAGTGTTGCTGCTTTTTATTTCAACTCTAATATTTTGACATAAATTAGAGTCCCTTCATTTCTTGATTTGAAATACATTGCTATGTGTAATGAATTCATTGTATGCTTTATGAACACAGCTACACTGCAAAAAGCATTGGGCCTCATTCACAAACTGTTCCTAAGAAGAAATTTCTTCTTAAAACCCATTTATGCACTTTTTACAAAGATTCTGACATTCAGCAATGTTTTCTTATTTGGGATTTGTTCTTAGGTAAGAACAGAATCTACCCACAGTCAAGAGCATGAAGGTGAGAACAGTTCTGTGCTCTTAGGACCTTTCTCAAGAACACATTTAAGAAGAAACGTTTGGTGAATGAGGCCCAGTGCTCTCTTGAGAAGTGAAGTCATCCAATATATCTCATTTTGAAATTGAATTTATAAGAATCTAACAATCCACAGGTGTTTCTGTTTCTGTCCATCCTCCCACTGTGAGAAAACAACTCAGCGCTATGGGTCTGAAAGGATGTGTGGTTGTCAAGAAGCCTCACTGAGAAAAGGAGACAAACACATCAAACAAAGAAGCTGTCCATCCCAGAGTCCAGACCTCAACATCACTGAATGTGCTTGGATTACTTGAGAAAATGATCAACCAACTTCTAAGACTGAACTTTGGAGGTGTGTCTGCAGATTTCTTTGAGAAACTGAAAGTGAGTCTCCTGAAAAGAATGGAAGCTGGAGTGAAGGAAAAGAGTGACTCAAACATCTGAGATTAGAGTTAGTTGTTGAAACTTTTCTGTCTGCATTTCTGTTTAATATGTTTTCTGCTTTTTTTTCCTGATAGTGAAAAACGCACTTAATGGCTGTTTTGACTGGAAATGAAATAAATAAGGGGGTCTCTAACTTTTGCACAGTACTGTTGATTGACAGTCTGTATATACTGTATACACTGTATATCTCAGAAAGTGAAATCTACTCAACACATATAATATATCTCATTATCAGACTGTCGTAAGAATATATCAGACTGTTTAACAAGCCTGTGGACATTTTGCTTCCTTATTCTTTACAGGAATATTCCTGTTACAATCATCTAGCAATGGAATTAGACAGTTTCAGTACATAAAATTACTTACAACAATAAAAACCATCAAGCAGTTCACAAAAACTGAAGCAGAAGATGAAGTGCATCAGTATTGAGGGCTTTAAGGAGGCAATCGGCCCTGTCTGGTGTTAATGGGGCTTTGAATTTGAGTTATAGCCGAATGTGTAGCAGCGTAAGGGAGCAATAATGATGCTATAAACCTTTAAAATGACCGTTGAGAGATGCTGGCCAGAGACCAACCTGTTGTCATAGGAACAGCAGTGGGTGGCTCTGCAGGATGAGAATATGCACAAAATCTGGCTCTTCATGGTGACAAATCTGACCACTCACACTGTGCATTCTTATATGCTGTAATTAATGAAAGTTAATAAAATTTGGTTAATAACTATCACAGCTTAAATAATACGTAAATATTCAGTACATCTATCCATCTGTCCTTACATCTATCTATCTATCTATCTATCTATCTATCTATCTATCTATCTATCTATCTATCTATCTATCTATCCATCTATCTATCTATCTATCTATCTATCTATCTATCTTAGCTGATGAGCTGGTTATTGTGAACAAGCTGAAGTTACTGTAGTTGTCATTTCTCTGCTGTTTTGTGCTTCACTACTCTTACAGTGAGCTGCGTCTACTGGAGCTGCTTATTGAAAATGCTCTGAGCTGTAAATTGAGTAAAAAGCAGTCTGATGTTTCATTCATAATTCAGCAGCAGGCTGGCACACACACCCCAGCGTGGCCATACATTATTAACGCATGTTACGTTTGTGTTCAGTGGACGGTGATGGGACAGATGCTTTACACTGCTATATTTAGGCAGGACAGTCACTGCCCTTTCAATTCAGAGCAAATTTTCAGGCCAGCTGGATGACGGGATTTCCACGTTCATGTTCATTACCTCTCTCAGACCCTATGGAACGAGGTCAATCAAATGAATCACGACAGTGGCTAATTAATATTCATTAAATCCACCTAAACATCAGCCTGATGTCATATATTAGTTCATTTCTTGCCATTATAAATGCATCTGGTAGTGACCAGGGTGCATATTTGACTAGGTTTGACTAATAAAGCTGTATATGATATAGATGCAAAGCAGCAGAAACGCATCACTGTTAATATTTCTCTAACCTTTTATTGATTTTTATGATTGGGGGAAATTAATGCATGCTAAGCCTCAGCATCCACAAACAAAAGACATTATCAGTTTGCTGATACTATTCTACTTAAAAACAGTTGCAAAAGAAAGAAATGCCAAGTGGAGTTTGTTTCCAAATCACTGGTCAGGACTCCTGGACCGTCCGGCTGAAACCCCAGAAGAAAAGCAAATGTAAATGGAGTCCCTGCCCCAAACAATATAAACAAAAGCGGCATCGAGGAGACGCCCCAAACCCACTGACCCCCCCACCCCCACACGGCCCTCCATCTGTCCGTCTGACAGCTTTCACCTCACCCATCCCCCCAATTAATCCCCCCAGGCCCCCCTTGGCCTATACAGAGAGAATCGCCTCTTTTTACATTTTGTTTCATTACTTCAAACTTATATGTCACTGAAACAGGCAGATAAATTGTGTGGAAAGAGCAGATTCTAAACTTTTAGTCCAGACCTGATTTGTGTTTTGTCATTGTTTGGCATTGGAACAAATTCAGAAGGTGTAAAATAGAACCTCTTCATAAAGAATGTACATGTAATTTATTATCTAACTATATGAATATTCATGTAATTATATGCCTTTATTTATACAGAAGGGAGTGGATCATATTGTGATTAGACAATGAAATTTCATTTTGTGATGCTTAGTGTTAGTCACAAATATATAATGAATATATTGCTGCTGTCGGAACAAAACCTCGCATTTTCATTTTTGCCTTTTTTTATTTTTGGACATAATTTGAAAACAGCAGAACAACAAAAAGGCTCTGAAGTGGCTTAGAATAAAATTTTAAATCTTCTTACATTAGTTTACACTAAAAGTTATGAACTTTTTTCCTTCTTAAAACTGACTTTCCATAGAGATGCAAGGTTTTGTTCTGACAGCGACTATATCTATGTCAAATGTGCATTATACAAATACACATTTATATATTTACATAATAAATATTAATAACACTTGCTAAATTAAAATTTTCTCATTTGTAATCCAGTTGTAATAATCCTGGCAGAGAGCAATTTTAAGGATTTTAATGACATAATATAAATCAAATGTAGCGAAATGACAATAATAACCGCAGATCTGTAAAAGTTCATCAACTAGACGTTGGGGTCACTGTGACCGCCTAGTCAGTCTGCAGTCCAGACGTGGCCAGAAGAAAGCTTTTTCACAAAGCACCCCAAGAGCACGGTCAAGACAAAAGGGCTCAGAACAAGCGCTTAAACTAATCCTAACCTACCAGTCTGGATGGAGAAAGAGAGAGGATGGAGATAGAGAGAGAGAGGCAGATGGAAGGTGAAAGGAGAGAGAGAGGAAATCTTTGATTATCTCAGTCTGAGGGAGAGAGTAAGCCAAAGATAGAGAGAACAATGCAGTAAAAGAGGGAAAAACACTTTGAAAACACTTTAAAGCAATAGTTTGGCAACAAATCACCCCCCCCCCACCCAACCTGCACCCCCACCCAACCTGCACCCCCACCAACTCAAATGTAGCCAATGCACCAAGACATGTTTGTTGTCTGAAGCTTGCTTTTTTAGTCTAATCAGTAATGGAGCTTACCACGAACAAAACCTTGTGTCTCCAAAATGGTAACATTACAGGAGAAAGAAAAAACCTACTTTACTTTTAATGTAAGTCAATGGAACCAGACTTTTTTCCGAGTCATTCTGGCCGTTTCTTTTGGTCCATTCATCATGAAATTTCAACACAATATAATGGCCAACAGGCATTTTCAAATTATGTCAAAAACTGAAAACTGGCAAAAATGGAGATACGAGGTTTTGTTCCGACAGCAGCGTTATACCCCACCAGTTAGCATCGTGCTAACTGCATGCCTAAATAATCATGCCCTCACCCTTAAACCACACTTAAGTTTATAGATAACATTGAGTCAGAAACCAAATAATCAAGTCTGTTAGAGATACTGAACATCTCTACACAGTTTGAGGTGTGTGACGATTTAGGCATGCAGTTAGTACCAAGTTAATTGGTGGGGTATAAGCTTCCAATGCTTGCTAGCTACACTACTGTTCAAAAGATTAGAATCACTATTTTAAATAATATGAATTGACATGATATAAAATGGTATAAATGATAATAATATCATATAATCTGTAGGAAGCTGTAAAGAAATTTGTAGGTACAGATGATTCCATAATAATCCATAAAAAGGAAAAGCAGGAATAGTATTATAATAAAAATGTATATCCAAAATGCGTCATATTTAAAAAGCAGTGACCAAATCTCGCCAATCAAACTATTCATAGTAATATGAAATGGTAAAATGGTAACAGTTTTACCTTTTCATCTCTTTGTTGTTCTCAGAATATTTGAAGCCATCAGCTCACCTTTTGGTGTGTAGTTTATAATATTTCAATCTACACTATATAATTTAATGCTAAACAAGTATTATTGGTAAGTGATTCCAAAAAGCAGTGAATATTAGCCTCAAAGCTAA